ACCTGGCTCCCCCATCCTAGCCTTACCTGGATTTCTCATTCCCTAAACATTCATTAATTTAACAAATATTTATTGAGCACCTACTCTATACGAGGCTCTTGCTGGGAGCTACGGCTATAGCGGTGATTGTGTCAGCCTGAGACCCTGGCCTGCTGTCATGTCTCTTTTTCACTAGGGTCCAGGGAGAGAGCTTTGAGTATCAATACTCAGCCCAGGGTGGGCCCTGCCTGAGTGGTACTCAGCCCTGATGTGGGCCTCGGGAAGTTTCGTCTTTTTTTTAATTTAAATATTTTTTTTCAAAAACAAACAACTTTTTATTAAAGTATAGTTGATTTACAATGTGGTAGTTTCAGGTATACAGCAAAGTGATTCAGTTATTCGTATATATATATATGTCTGTTCTTTTTCAGATTCTTTTCCATTACAGGTTATTATAAGATATTGAGTATAGTTCCCTGTGCTATACAGTAGGTCCTTGTTGTTTATCTATTTTATATAGAGTAGTGTGTATCTGTTAATCCCAGACACCTAATTTATCCCTCCCCCATCTTCCCCTTTGGTAACCATAAGCTTGTTTTCTATGTCTGTGAGTCTATTTCTGCTTTGTAAACAAATTCATTTGTATCATTTTTTAAAATTCCACGTATGTTACAGCATATAATACTTGTCTTTCCCTGCCTGACTTACTTCACTTAGTATGATCATCTCTAGGTCCATCCGTGTTGCTGCAAATGGCATTATGTCATTGTTTTTACGGCTGAGTAGTATTTTATTATTTTTATTTATTTATTTTGGGCCATGTTGGGTCTTCGTTGCTGCACGCGGGTTTTCTCTAGTTGCGGTGAGAGGGGCTACTCTTCGTTGCGGTGCCCAGGCGTCTCATTGCGGTGGCTTCTCTTGTTGCAGAGCATGGCTCTAGGCACATGGGCTTCAATAGTTGTGGCATGTGGGCTCAGTAGTTCTGGCCCGCGGGCTCTAGAGCGCAGGCTCAGTAGTTGTGGTGCATGGGTTTAGCTGCTCCGTGGCATGTAGGATCTTCCCAGACCAGGGCACGAACCTGTGTCCCCTGCCTTGGCAGGTGGATTATTAACCACTGTGCCACCAGGGAAGTCCCAAGTATTATATATATATATATATATATACATACATACATATAGTAAATAATGCTGCTAAAAGCAAATATTATATATGAATGCATACATATGGAATCAGTAAAAACGGGTATAGACAATCTTATTTACAAAGCAGAAATAGAGACACAGATGTAGAGAACAAATGTATGGATACCAAGGGGGAAAAGGGGGGTGGTGGGATGAATTGGGAGATTGGGATTGACACCAATTGTTCATTGCAGCATTATTTACAACAGCCAGGACATGGGAACAACCTAAATGTCCAATGATAGATGAACGGATAAAGAAGATGTGGTACATATATACAATGGAATATTACTCAGCCGTAAAAAGGAACGAAACTGGGTCATTTGTAGAGATGTGGATGGACCTAGAGTATGTCATACAGAGTGAAGTAAGCCAGAAAGAAAAAAACAAATATCGTGTATTAATGCATATATGTGGAATCTAGAAAGATCTTACAGATAAACCTATCTGTAGGGCAGGAATAGAGGCATAGACGTAGAGAAGGGACATGTGGACACGGAGGGAAGAGAAGGGTGGGACGAATTGGCAGATTAAGTTTGACGTAAATACACTACCGTGTGTAAAATAGATAGCTAGTGGGGACCTACTCTATAGCACAGGGAGCTCAGCTCTGTGCTCTGTGATGACCTAGGTGGGTGGGATGGGGGGTGGATGGGTGGGAGGGAGGTCCAAGAGAGAGGGGATATAGGTATACATATGGCTGATTCACTTCATTGTACAACAGAAACTAACACAACATTGTAAAGCAATTTTACTCCAATAAAAAAGAAAGAAAAAAGAAGATATATATACACTATTGATACCAGGAATAAAATAGATAACTAATGAGAACTTACTGTATAGCACAGGGAACACTCCTCAGTGCTCTGTGGTGACCTAAATGGGAAGGAAATCCAGAAAAGAGGGGATATATGTCTACGTAGAGCTGATTCACTTTGCTGTACAGTAGAAACTAACACATCTTTGTAAAGCAACTCTACTCCAATGGAAAGAAAAATCCTCTGTGCTCCACTGAACGCCTGATCTATTTACTGTCTCCATAATTTTGCCTTTTCTAGAATGTCATGTCGTTGGAATCCAAATACAGTATTGCAGCCCTTCAGACTGGCTTATCTCACTTAGCAATATGCATTTCTGGTTCTTCTGTGTCTTTTGTGGCTTGCTAGCTCGTTTCTTTTTTTCTCTAAAAAATGAATGAACATAACATCGTAAAGCAAGTATACTCCAATAAAGATGTGGAAAAAAATTAAAAAAATGAATGATATTTTTGTGACTGCCATGCATTCGTGTGGTTCAATATTCAAAAGGTACCAGAGTCCCCCTCTTAATCCCCTCCCCCAGGCACCTGCTTCTCTTCCTCGGAGGTAACTGATGTGAACACTTCTTGAAAGAACATCCTTCTGAAGATGATTTTATACATAGAGAAGCATTTTTCTCCGTCCTCTGTTTTCATTGTGTTAAAATACACATAACACAAAATTTACCATCTTACCTTTTTTAAGTATACAGTTCAGTGGCCTTAGTTTCATGAAATACCTTCTGCAGCCATCCCTGCCAGCCATCCCCATTACACTTTCCTTCTTGTGAATTGGAAACTGTCCCCGGGAAATATTAACTCCCCATCCTCCCCTCCTCCAGCCCCAGGCACCCACCATCCTACCTCCTGTCTTCAGGATTTTGATTACTCTAAATACCTGGATCGTTTCTTTTTATCATCGAATAATACGGGAATCCTTTTATAGAGCCTCCGGTGATTTGACGGGGGAGCTGGATTGAGCCCTTGGGCTCTTCAAAGGGTCCCCAGCCTGGTGAGCTTGCAACACCCTCCTTCAACCTATGAACAGCCCACTGGGTTCCCTTTCCTTCCCATTTTTGTAGCTGGTTGATCTTTTTAAAATTGATTTTTATTGTAGTATAGTTAGTTTCTGCTGTACAGCAAAGTGAATCACCTATATGTATACATATATCCCCTCTTTTTTGGATTTCTTTCCCATTTAGGTCACCACAGAGCATTGGGTAGAGTTCCTTGTGCTATACAGGAGGTTCTCATTAGTTATCTATTTTACACGTAGTAGTATATATGTGTCAGTCCCAATCTCCCAGTTCATCCCACCCCGGCTTCCCCCTGTGATAACCATAAGTTTGTTCTCTACGTTGATCTTTTATTTTCTTATTTTCCGGTGTTGGCATATCAGCTGCCCCTCCAGCCCCCCACCATGTCCCCACCTGTACTGTGAGATACGCTGCATGTGTCCTGTGGGCTTGGTCATCACTGCGCTGCTCCTTGGTGGTCAAGGAGCTGTGTGCTCCTCAGTGTGCCCATCTGCGCAATGGGTGTTAGATCTGCCGAGCAGGTATCTGTGGGCTCCAGGGGACTCAGGTTATAAGCTCTCTGCCTGTCGGGGGATGGTGCATTCCCACCGTGTTTTCTCTGGCTCCTGTGTGGGGTCCCTTGCGGGTGGTTCGTTCCTTCTCAAGACAGCAGGGAACCAGGGGTCTGGGTCTGCCCGTGGGGAGTGTGTGAATCAAAGGAACCGGCCGCAGCTGAAGCAACCTCGCCTGGATTCTTAATGCGGCCTCTTGACAGACCGATTGTGTAACGGCATTCCTCCCAAGGAAACACGTCTGCCCCCTCCGAGAAGGTGCGAGAGCTTCCCAGACACTGAAAGGGCCCTGCTGGGTAAATTAATTCTTCATTATTCCGTTCCCGGGGCTCCCACGTTGGCTCAGTGCCCGGCACACAGACGCCCGCCTGCACCGGGTCGCCCAGACGCGGGGGGCTCCAAGTGCCAGGTAGTCTCGGCCGTCCATAGAATCAGAGGATGAGTTCAAAAATGCAAATTCCCATCCATCCCTTGCCTCCTCCGCCTGGGACAAAGGGGCTGTTGTTGACATGCGAGCGGGCTCTCTAGTATCTAAATATTTTACCCCTAAGGACGCATAGGGTCACGTCCATCTGCACACGACAGCTTTGAGCAGGGCTGGGGTTCCTCCTCCGTGGTCATTGTTTACCCCTCAGCACCTCTGAGAACACTCCCACGGGACCGGAAATGCCACCTGCTGTTAAGACTTCCCAGTGGGGTCATCAAAACCCCGAAACTGGCCAGACTCAAAGCATCAAGAGCGCAGCGCCGACCTTGATGTCCCAGAAGTGGGCGTCCTGGGGGCACGGCTGCCGCGGGTCATCCCAGGCAGGGACAGGATATATCTTTACCGCGATGGAGCACACGCTGGAGGCTTTGCCTGCGAGTGAACCAGCATCCCTTCTCCCGTCTTTCCTACCCCCGCCCCCCTTCATCCAGGCTAGAGGCGGAAGTCCATCACCCCACCGATGAGCTGGGGGGTCCTCGGCCAGCTACCGAGGACCCTCAGTTTCCTCATCTGTAAAAGGGGGATGGTGATCTTGCATCCCCACGTTGGGATGTTGGGAATGGGAAGCGTTTGGGACGTGCCTGGCCTGGGGAGGAGCTCAAGAAACGGTGCCTGTTTCATCCAGTTGCTTTTCTTACTGATTCAAGAAACCATCACCTGGCCTGGGTGTGGGGGTCCCTGCCCCAGTGGGGTGGGCGGTGGGAAGGTCGTGAACAGGAAAAGTGCGGTCAGGGAATCCCTTCTAGGCGTCACCAAAGGGCCCTGAGTTTGGAGGTGACAATCAGAGCAGTGAGGTGGCCACAGTCACGGACACGGACGCCAGGCACCCAGCTTCACAGGCGAGGCTGCCCATTACCAGCTGGGGCCCCAGTTTCCCCAAATGTGAGACGCAGGCGGTGCTGGCGGCAGCTGCCCGTGGGGTGGTCTCGTGGATTAAATGAACGAGTTTGTGGGTGACGCGAGACAGCCTCCAGCAAGTGCGTCGTGGTGTTTATTAATACATAACTGTGTCTTCACCGTCACGCGGCTGGTATCACGGCGCCCAGAGGCCAAGACAGAGGACACAGAAGTTGATGGGGATTTTGTCCCTCATGGGCCTGAGGTCAGTGATCCACGCAGGACTCTTCTTGGAAGTGAGTGATCGGGAGGCTAGAGCAGGAAGCTCTCAGGAAGCCTTGTCCCTCCAGCCGCTGTCTCTCTGGGCTCCGGGCTCTTCCTGCCGCTTCCTTCCCAGGGCAGCAGGCCGGGAACCCAGAGCTGCTGGCAGGAGGCGTGGGCCGTTTCATGCACCTTGGGATGAGAGCGAGGTACAGGTGAGGCCATTGTTCTGGAGCTCGGGTGGGGATAATGCGTCCTGACAGCCCGGAGGACGGCCCCGCCAGCCTGGCTCGAGCCCCAGGGCGGCCCTTGTGGGCACCCGAGTTACAACACATCCTGTGAACGCTCTGGCCTCTTCATGTGTTTCCAGCGCTGGCGGCTTGGACACACCTGGGAGCGGCATGGCCCATTCACCAAGCGCTTTGGCGAAGGTCACCAACAGCTGGGGACAGAGCGTGTATTGTCAAGGGCGCCAGCCCGGCCTCTGTGCCTGCTGGCTGCCCCAACCACAGGAATTCCTCGAGCTCACCCTCGTTCACACCAGCCAGGCACCCACTCCCACCGGGGTTGGCCTCCCTCCCTCCCTCCCTCCTTCTCTCCCTCTGATGCTACCTTCAAGCCGGAGGCTGCAGCCTTGGCCAAACGAGCCTCGCCCACCATTTTCCACAACCTAATTGCCGCGCTGTGTCTGTGATGGGCACAGACCCAGGGCCCAGTCCTGCCAAGAATTTCCCCGTGTGAATACCTGCACAGGGCATCTCCTGTGGGAACCGGGAGTCACCCAGGGCCTGGCGTTTGTCCCCGGCTGTCTTGTGACATTAGGCAGATCAAAGCCCCATTGTCAACAGTTGTGTTCGCTCTGTTCGTCCGCTTGGAGCCCGTGTCCCGGGACTGCCCTTCCCTCATCTCAGACGCAGGGCGGGAGCTGACCCCCGGGACCGTGCTCCTGTTCCAGCTCCAGCACTCCTTCTGGAAGGGGTCCCACCGAAAGTGAATTGTCTTTTCTGAGTCTGAGGCCAGGCACACCCTGACGAAGAATGAGAACTCGGGGCAGCCCAGCTCACCCAGTGTCTTCAGAGCAGCAAGCTCTGACTTGGCTCTGCATGTAGCAGCTCAGAGGGGGAGAAGAATGTCACCGATGCTGGAATCACTGCCGGAGCTGGCGATGGGGGAATGGCAGCAGGAAGGGGCTGGGGGTGGCCGCCCCAGCTCGGCACCCCTTGGAGAGCAGGCAAGGAGGAAGGAACACTTTGACAAGCACGGAACACAGACCGGTAGGAAGGCGTCAGAGCCTCCCAAGTCCCACCATTTGTGCCCAAAAGGGGGGCAATCAAATGATTCAACTACCCGAGGGGCAATGTATGAGCTCGGGGGATCTTGTCACATCTCACGGTCCGTAGATCCATTGGTATGGGCTGCCTGTGCACGTGCTGAGCTGGGGGAGGAAAGGGCGCCCTGATGGATTAGTAATGTCTGTCCGGGAGCCAGTCTCTTGGTGACAGTGTGTGCGCCCCGGCTCTTCTGTGTTAGTCAGGAGAAGCTAGGTTTTGTTGCGATAACAAATAGGCCTCCAAATCTCAAAGGCTTCATGCCACAAAGGTTTGATTTTCTCTCACACAGAATCCAAAGAGAAGGGGGCAACTTCTCAGGGCATCTGTCCTCCCTGTGGTGAGTCTGTATCCAGGCTGTTTCATCTCAGCGTTCTGTGGGAGGATGGGCACACGGGGCTCTTCACAGCCTCAGCCTGGAAGTGACTTGGTACTTCGACTCACTTATTATCCAGAGCTACTCCTGGGCACTCTGCCCTCCCTGCTCCCTGGAAGTGCAGCGAGACTCTGGGAGGGAGGGGTGTGAATGGGATCCTGCCGGGTGTAGAATGTGGTCCCTGCCACACATGGTAAGATCCAATCTTCTTTTAGAGACGAGGGAAACGGTGCCTGGGCAGGGAGGTGACTTGAACCAAGCTGACGGAGGGAGCTGGCCGTGATCACAGTGTGGACCAGCCTAACTCCTGTGCTGGCATGGTTTTGGGTGGATCACAGTGCCACGCTGTCTAGATCCCCCTTTCCAGGCACTGCTCATCTGTCAGTCTGTGAACTCTGTCACCCAGAGGTTCCTTCTCTTACTGGGAAGTCCATTGGAGGGACCATGGACCTCGGCTCACTACTGATGGGTACTGTTCCCAGAAGCACCGTGTCCTCTCCAGTCAGTGCGGCATGACTGGGGGAAGGGCAGACCATAGGTGCCCAGGCTCCTGGAAGCACGAGGCCTGCCCCTTGACTGAGCGACCTCCCTTGTTCTCCAAAGACCACAGGAGCCGTACTCACACTTCGTATCTGTTACTGGACAGGAATCTTTCTGAGTATCATGACTTACACTCAGAAAGATTCTATAGCCAGTTACTAGAGCCAGTCAGTCAGAAGAATCTTTCTGAGTGTAAGTGGCTTATGCATTTGTTGAGAAGCCCAGGGATTTCAGCTTCAGGAATGGCTGAATCCAGCGGCTCAAATGATATCATCAGAACTCAATCTCACTTTCTTCATTTCTCATTTCTGTCTTCCTCTGAGAAGGCTCTAATGTCTGGATGGGCTCTGATTGATTTGATTGGGATCACATGCCCATTTCCAAATAAACCACAATAGCCAGGGGGCTAAGAAACACGGATTGATAACCCCTGGTCTGGGGAACATCCTTTGCATCTCTGGAACCTCATGGACTGAGAGAGGCTTGCACTGGGAGGGGCGCCAATGCACAAGAAACAGTGCACAGTGATGCCCCGTCTATTAGCAGGGGCACACGTGCCAGGGTCTTCCACGCTGGAGAAGTTGGAGAGCATTCTGCATCCAGGGCAGAGATGGGCATGGTTGCCCGAAGAGGCTGGTTAGGCAGAACTGAGGTCTGGCCAGGTGCGATATTGTGATTTTTAATAAGAAATATATATTCGGTCTTTGTCCCATTCCTGGTCCAGAGCCCCTAAAGCCCTTGGAATTTCCTGTGGAGAGAGCATAAAGGTGTCTTTTGTTATGTTAATAAGGTGGTTTTGGGAAATTACCTAAGGATGGAGGCTGGTTGTCAGAGGAGCCAACCACACAAACAGAGGTGAAAACTTTCAGTCCCACCTCCAAGGAGGGGAAAGGGGCTGGAGGTTGAACCCACCACCAATAGCTAATGATTTCACCAGTCATGCTGGTGCAATGAACCCTCCAGAAAACCCCAAAAGGATGGGGTTCCAGGAGCTTCCGGGTTGGTGAACACGTGCAGATTTGGGGAGAGTGGTGCTCGGAAACGTGGAGGAGCTCCACGCCCTTCCCCCACACCTCGCCCTGGGCATCTCTTCCATCTGGCTGTTCCTGTTATATCTTTTTATAATAAACCTGTAATCTAGTAAGTAGCATGTTTCCCTGAGTTCTGTGAGCTGCTCTACAAATTAATCGGACCCAAGGGTGGTGGGAACATCCAAACTATAGTCAGAAGCACAGGTGATAACTTGGATTTGCTACTGGCATCTGAAGTGGGGTCAAGGGCTCTTGTGGGACGGAGCCCGTAACTGTGGGGTCTGTGCTATCATCTCCAGGTCGGTAGTGTCAGACCTGAGTTGAACTGTAGGACTCCCAGCTCGCGTCTAAGAATTGCTCGGTGTGAGGGAACGACACGCACATCAGAATTGGTGTCAGTATCTTAGTTGGAACCAGAATCATACCAGGAAAAACACTGAGAGTCAGCCTAAGGAGCTGAAGTTTATCCTTCAAGCAGTAGGACCCACTGGGGGGTTTCAAGCACATGGGCCTGGTCTGATTCCTGCTGTGGACAGAATTCGACCGCTGCTCTGGGGTGTAGTATGGGTTGGACAAGGCAAGATGGCCAGAGGTAAGGGGGTTGTCCTAATAGCCGAATTGGGGCTGATTGAGTACCCGTTAAGCTCAGAGCTAAGAGTGGAGCTTAGCTTAGCTAGGAGCTGGGGCAAGCAGGAGACGAAGGGAGCGGGGAGGGTTGGGAGAATCACCAAGCCCTAACTTGGAGAATATCAGCTGTTCCGACCCCAGTCAAGAAGTGGGAAGGAAGCAAATAAAGCACAAGTTTTTCACAAAAGGCTCCGTGTTGATCCATCCACTATGTGCAGCCCCTCGGTCATAGCCTGATGACTCTTACTTTACACAAAGTGGTAACAGATTTTAAAACTTCTGTTCCTACTCAGTAGTAAATTAGGGACTTGTAAATTGGCTGTGTGTGTGTGTGTGTGTGTGTGTGAAAGAGAGAGAGAGAGAGACGGACAGCGAGATTTGGAAGGAGAAGAGCAGGAAGGGTAGCAGCTGAGATGAGATAAAGGAACGCTGTGAACTCCTTGGGGCCACTTGGTGTGGGACAAATAGTTTTACAAGAATCAATAAACCTTAAAGAAGCAAATCCCATTCGAGGGTGGGAAATTGTCACTAGTAGGTGTTGGTAGTTGCTGCCTTTGGCCACTTGAGGGCAAGACAATGGACAGTGACAGGGATGCACCTGGCTCTCTGTCTGGGTCTCCTCTGCTGACACCCCCTCATTCCTGAGAGCTGCACCCTCACACTGCTCCCCTCTGCCCACGGATGCCAGACCCTCCCAACCTGATGTGTGGGCTGCCCAGAGAGGAACCCACAGACTCCATGGGATGGGTGGGGGGATCCTACCCAGAAAACGTGGGTAGCATCACCCATGGGTGCACTTTTGCTGGGATCCTGGCCTCATTGGCTGCAAACCTGGCTGGGCTGGGCTCCAGACCTGACAGGGGACGGTTGTATAACCAGCAACACTGGACATCCAACCCCAAGGCCTCCTGGGAACACCAGGCTTTGCTTACTGGAGAAAAAAGGAAGGGAAGGGGCAAAGCCTACTGGTCCTGGGTCCCTTCCCACTTCCACCTAATGTGAGTGAGGGCAAGGGGGTGCTGGGTCTCCACTCCAGTACACGTGTGCACATTAACAGAGGTTCCTGGAGACAGATGTTATGGGCTAAGTTACGTCCCACCAATTTCCTATGTTGAGGTCCTAACCCCCAGCACTTCACTATGTGATCGTATTTGGAAAAAAGGCCTTTAAAGACATAATTAAGGTAAAATGAGGTCACTAGGGTAGGGCCTTTATCCCATAGGACCTGTGTCCTTATGAGAAGAGGAGATCAAGACACAGACACACACAGAGGGATGACCCTGTGAGGACACAGGGGGAAAAGGGTCATCTACACCACGAGGAGAGAGGTCTCAGGAGGCACCAGCCCTGCCCACACCTGGATCTCGGATTCCAGTCTCCAGGACTGGGAGACAATAAGTTTCTGTTGTTCAGCTGCCTGGTCGATGGGACCTTTGGAAAGGCAGTCCAAGCTGACTGTACAGACGCCTGGTTGCAAAGTAGGGGGTCTGCAGAGAGGCTGCAGGCTCAGGCCAGGGGAGAGCGAGTGCTGGGGACACAGGGACGAAGCAGGCAGGACACTCAGAGGCAAATGCCCACTACCTGCAGACGCTGATGAACAGCGTGTGTGCTGGGGACTCTGTGATGGACCCGCCTGGCCTTGGGCCAGAACACAGAGAGGTCAAAGCCACACTGGAGATTCCAGAGATTCCCGTTTTGAGGGATTTGCACGGCTTTAGGAAATCTAAGCCACGCCTCTCAGGTACTTCCCAAGCGCCCCCCTCTGTGATGCTCCCCATCTGGGTGCCCAGGACCCCAGAACACAAATAGCGGGGACCGCATCCCCGGTTCACTTGCTCCAGGCCTGGCCCCGACGCAGGTGTGCGCTTCCACATCACCTGTAACCATCACTGCAGCCTGGGACAGACGTCCTCACTCTACTATCCAGAGCCTGGGAAGGTCCCAGGAAGCCAGGGCCACACAGCTGTTGGGTGGCATGCCTGGGATTTGAACCCACATCCACTTGAAGCCCAGGCCCTCGGCCACTCAATCCCTGGCTGCGTGTGGACATTCAGCAAAGGGCAGTTCTTGGCCACTTTCGAAAGACTCCATGCGGTTTCTGGTGTGGGACCCTCGGCAGCTCCAGACCGGGCCCCATGCATCTCAGCTGGTCCCCTCGACCCCCAGCGTTGGGACCTGGGCTTTGGGGCACCAGGGCCCTGATGCAGGGAGAAGGTGTGGGGTTCAGGGCCTGGGGTCTCCAGGATGACCCCTCTGCTGGCCGCGAGGCCTAGCTTGTGGTCTCTGAGGGCCCACAGGGCTGGATCCATGGAAAGAGTTCTGGCCTTCTGTGTGCCCTGTTCCAGCCCAATCACAACACAAGTGGCAGTGAATTGCCCTGCATTCTGGAGCCGTGGCCACCGGCCCCTCCCTCTTGGGGTCCCTGCTTCTCCAGAGCAGGCTCTGGATTGGTCCCATGAGGACTCTGAGCCCCTGCAGACCCTGGGAAGCAGGCAGAGCTGTCAGGACCCCCAGTGGAGACTGAGGCCGCCCTTCCAACCCTGCCAGCCAGGGAGAAGGGCCAGAGCCACCACCCCGTGGGACACGCCATCATGTCGCTGAGCATCCCCGACTGGGGCTCTGCGTGGCCGGCGTCAGCGAGGGGGCACCTAGGAGGGCTGGTCCGGGAGGAAGGGAAGGCGGTGGGTTGAGTGAGTGCCTGGGATCAGAGTCACAGCAGGCAGGAATGTGGCCACTGAGAGAGCCACCTGCGTGACCCAGTGGAGGCCTGGGGTTGGTCTCTGAGTCTCGCCCAGGCTGTTCCTTCCACCTGGAAGGCCTGGTCCTTCCTCGGCTGGCCCTCAGCTCCTCTGGGAAGGGAAGTGGGGTGTGCTGTGTGCCAGCACTCTGCTCACAGCATCGTGTTCTGTCCTGCAAGGATTCCTCTGACTGCTCAGTCCCTTCCTCGGGCCACCCAGCTGGACTCACCTTAGGGTCAGCCAGAGGCCACCCCCACACCCTGCTAGTTTTAGACCTGGGGTTGATTTTCTGAGATTGCCTGGGAGGTATTTATGGGGGGAAGGGAGAGTCCCAAGAGGCAAGAAATTCACCCAGGAAATTGAGGAATCGGATACTTAGAGAAAAAACCCTTTCCCACAAGTGGCTGTGTCCCCTTGAACCTCCACACCTGTGAATTCCTGGCACTCACTGTTTATCTGCTGGAGATTAAAAATCTAAAAAAGTCAGCTGTTAGCATGCAAATCCCAGCAGAACCGGCCTGCTATGATTTGCATGGGAACCACAGCTCCTTCTGTGGCACAGCCCAGAAGGTTCCCAGTCTTCAGAACGGCCCCAACTCCCAAGCCAGGCAGGCCTTCGGGGGCCTAGGACAGTAGTTCTCAGAGTGGGGTCACCTGGCCACGAGGTAGAAATGCAAAGCCTCAGGCCCTCCTGATTACTGCATCAGAAACTCAGGGTAGAGGGTTGTGGAGAGGCGTTCCATGTTCATGGATTGGAAGACGCAATATTGTCAAGATGTCCGTTCTTCCCAACTTGATCTGTAGATTCAACAGGAGTCCAATCAAAATGCCAGCAAAACTGCTTCACAGCTATCAAGGAAACGACTCTAAAATCTAGGCAGAAAGGTATGGGTAGCAGAGCGGCCAACAGAATCCTGACAAAGGAGGAAACTTGGGGAGCAGGCTTAGCCATCTGTCTTAATGAGCCGTCCAGGTGAGTCTGGGGCACAGTCCTGAGAACCACTGCGAGAGGAAAAAAGCTGGGTGATGGTGCAGAGAGAGCCATGTCCTGAGGCCCCCTCCTTAGCAGAGCCCCTTTATATCTGCCCCCAGGGGCCCCTGCAGTCCTCTCCTGGTGGCAGTGGTCTGCGGTGTCTTTGATCCCTTGCCCATCCCACCCCCTGGTCTTTATTCATCAACCTACCTGGACTGAAGCCTCAAGGGCTCCACTCAGCCTGACTCACCTGACAGCTGACACCTCCATTCTCCATCAAACACACCCCAAAGTCCCTTTTGGGGCAGGGGAGGGAGCGAATCTGATCCAGTGGAGATGATGTTCTCTCTAGCATCAAGGATTGCCTGGGGAAAAGACAAGGAATAACACTTGTTTCTATCATATGTATTTAAGCTCTAATGTAATCCTGGCATCTCTCTCACACCCCTGCTGGCCACTGCTCTGGTTCATTCTGATATCTCCTCTCAGGACCAAGGGCACGTTCTTCCCCCTGGACTCCTCCTAAATTTCCAGCTGGTATCCTCTCCCAATGCTTCTCCCATACCTGCCACCAGAGTGGCCTTCCTAAAGCACAACCTTGTAAGACTTTTTATGTTGTGTACGTATGTGTATGTAATATGTATGTTGTGTACTCAACTTTTATTTTTTCTTAATGGCTTCTGGGTTTCCTATCTTGCTTAGAAAGACTTCCTGCACAGTGGTGTTATAAGAATATTTGCTTCTATGATCTTCCATATGTTTAGAGTTTTAAA